GTGCTTTGGTGTCACAGCTCACGGCAACCTCCAGCTCTTGGGCTTAGGTGATTCTCTAGCCTCAGCCTCCTGAGTAGCTGGGACTACAGGTGCCCGCCACAACACCTGGCTATTTTTTTGTTGCAGTTTGGCCGGGGCCAGGTTTGAACCCACCACCCTCAGTATATGGGGCCAGCGCCCTACTCACTGAGCCACAGGTACCACCCAGGAAAGGACTATTTTCAAAGAGTGAGATGGGGATAAACAGGATGTGTTTAAACAAATATAACTTTTGGGTTTTTTTGTTTGTTTGTTTGTTGAGACAGAGTCTTACTTTGTCACCCTCCGTGGAGTGCTGTGGTGTCACAGCTCACAGCAACCTCAAAACTCTTGGGCTCAAAAAATCCTCTTGCCTCAGCCTCCCAAGTAGCTGGGACCACAGGTATCCGCCACAACACCCAGCTGTTTTTAGAGACAGTGTCTGGTGCTGGCTTGGGCTGGTCTCTAACTCCTGCTCTCAAGCAATCCACCCTCCTCAGCCTCCCCAAGTGCTAGAATTACAGGCATGAGCCACTGCACCCAGCCCTAAATGTAACTTTTGTACTGTTATGTGGAATTTGATATAATAAAAACACAGTTTCCGGGCGGTGCCTGTGGCTCAAAGGAGCAGGGTGCCAGCCCCATATGCTGGAGGTGGTGGGTTCAAACCCAACCCCGGCCAAAAAACTGCAAAAAAAAAAAAAACAAAAAACCACAGTTTCCCAAAACATTTATTACATAAAACATATACCTACAAAATAAAGTTAAAACTGAAAGTGGAAAATCTACCATGCTAACTACTCTTTACAAATATACCTCGAATTTTTATTTCGCCTGTGAAGTCTTAGTCTGAAGTCTATCTGCTGGAAAGGGTCAGCAGTGACACAGAAATGCACAATGGTCCACTCACCCCGAATACAGCGCTCTCAGCCCCTCTTCTCTGCCTATCCTCACCAGTGCATGTAACATTCCTCGATACCTAATTTCTTTAAGGTTTGCATCATTCGTCTGGCCTTGAATCTGGAGGCGTGTCTTCGTTAAATCAATTGGAAAGGTACCTTAAAATGTTAAAGAAAGGAATATTTTTCTTAATTCCACTAAATAAAGGATACATCGTGTTATATTATTGACAAAACATAAGGTAAACCAAGAAAACAGATTATGAAATGGCAATCTTTTTCTTTTCTTTTTTGCAGTTTTTGGCCGGGGCTGGGTTTGAACCCGCCACCTCCAATATATGGAGCTGGC